CAGAAAGCAATGTAGCAGGTTAGCTGAAGCATACAAGAATTTAATGTCCTAATATGGATTCTTTCAGCTTGATCCTGGCTAGCCAGTCTTACGATAAACCTTGCTTGCTGTTTGCAGTCTCTGGAGTCTCTTTGTCGTTAAAGGGAGATCACGATCCGCGCCCTAACACAATGTCATCCTACCGCCCACATTCAAGGAAAGGCCCCTCAACTCTTTTTTATTTTATTTTTCTTGTTTTTTGGGGCCACACCTGGTGATACGCAGGGGTTTCTCCTGACTCAGGGAACCCAATAGGATGCTGGGGATGGAACTGGAATTGGCTGCTTGCAATACATTCCCTGCTTCAGCCTGTTGTGCCCCCCCGCCCCCCCATGATACTAAAGGGTCATTTTTTAGGGACCATGTGGTACTAGGGACAATTCCAGAACTCCCACGTGCAAACCTGAGTTCTGCTCGTCTGAACTTTTTTCTCACCTTTAAGATTAAGCAGCTCAATCCCCGAAATCACTCTTACCCTAAGGAGGTAGGGGTTTTATTTTTACTTATTTATTTTTGAGTGACACCCAGAGATGATCGAATATCTGTTACCTCCTTAGGAATGCAGGGCTGAGAATCAAAGGAAACCAGGTGATAACCAAATGTCCAGTTACCAGATGCCCACTAGCCACAATGCCTATGTACGGTAAATGCTGATCTTTGAATCTATAGGCTAAGGAGTGATGTACTTTTAAATGGATTGGTTAGGGACTGGAGAGATAGCACAGCGGGTAGGGCGTTTGCCTTGCACGCGGCTGACCCGGGTTCGATTCCCAGCATCCCATATGGTTCCCTGAGCACCGCCAGGAAACCACCAGGAGCGACCCCTGAGTGCAAAGCCAGGAGTAACCCCTGTGCATCGCCAGGTGTGACCCAAAAAGCAAAATAAATAAATAAATGGATTGGTTAAATAAATAAATAAATAAATAAATGCTGATCTTTGAATCTATAGGCTAAGGAGTGATGTACTTTTAAATGGATTGGTTAGGGGCTGGAGCGATAGCACAGCGGGTAGGGCGTTTGCCTTACACGCGGCCAACATGGCCGACCCGAGTTCGATTCCTCCACCCCTCTCGGAGAGCCCGGCAAGCTACCGAGAGTATTCGATATGCCAGACACAGTAACAACAAAGTCTCCAATGGAGATGTTACTGGACCCGCTCGAGCAAATCGACGATCAACGGGAGGGCCTTTACCTTTTTTACCTTTACCCAGAGATGATCAAGGGTCACTCCTGGTGGGGCTCCAGGGACCCTATGGGGTGCTGAGGATCAAACCCAGGTCAGCCATATGCAAGGCCAGCACCTTCCCTGCTGTACTATGAATCCAACCCCAGTGGTGGGCTTTTTTTTTTTTTTTTTTGGCTTTTTGGGTCAGACCTGTCGATGCTCAGGGGTTACTCCTGGCTCTGCACTCAGGAATCACTCCTGGCAGTGCTTGGGGGACCTACAGGATGTCGAGGATCGAACCCATTTCGGCCGTGTGCAAGGCAAATGCCCTATCCGTTGTGCTGCCCTACCTGTTGTGCTATCGATCCAGCTCATGGTGGGCTTCTTAAAAACCGTCGAGGGGCCAGCAAGATAGGGCAGTGGGGAGGGCATTTGCCTTGCACAAGGCAGACCCAGGTTTGATCTCCGGCATCTCATAGGATCCCCTGAGCTCGGCCAGGATTAATTCCTGAGTGCAGTGCCAGAAGTGACCCCTGAGCATCTCTGGGTGTGACCCCAAAAAACAAAAAAAAATAAAGACCCTCCCACCCTGAACCCCACCAGTACTAATTCTTAACACTGCCGAGTGTACCTCCTGCATGCCCCCCCCCACGAAACCCCCAGAGTCCTGACAACTGGGAAAGGAAACCCAAGATCCTTCTCTTCCAGTTCTGCCATTCTGGGTTTAAATTACTCCCCTCCCTCCCCCATCATTCCTGGGGACTCAAGGACATATCTTGCCCTTGGATATCAACCAGGTCTCTGAAAATATTTTTCCTTTTTCTTTTTTTGCTTTTTGGATCACACCCGGCGTTGCACAGGGGTTACTCCTGGCTCATGCACTCAGGAATTACTCCTGGTGGTGCTCAGGGGACCACATGGGATGCTGGGAAACGAACCCGGGTTGGTCGCGTGCAAGGCAAATCCCATATCAGCTGTGCTATTGCTCCAGCCCCTGAAAATACTTTTTTTTTGGGAGGGGGGCAGGGGGTTTTGGGTCACAATTGGCAGTACTCAGGGCTGTGTCCTGGCTCTGCACTCAGGAATGACTCCAGGCAGCATTGGAGGCCCCTATGGGGTGCTGTAGATCGAACCCAGGCAAGCCGCTTGTGCAAGCCTCCAAATATAAGTTTTGAACACTTAATCTCCAAATTTACCAGGAACAAACCACCTCCTCCAAGAATTCATTTGTTATTCATGCGAGTCCTTGAATCTCTTCCGGGAATGGCTAAAGCCCTGAGCAAAACTGGATGCAAACCCCTACCAGGGGCCAGGGCTGTTTTGTTTTTTTTTTCTCCCCAGAACAAAGGTCGGCCATCTTCTGAGGTTAAAGAGGAAATCTGTTTTGCCTACAGGGTTGTGGAGAGAGGTTTCATTTTATTATTTTTTATTTTAGCTGCCCTCAGGAATTACTCCTAGTGGTGATCGGGGGACATATGGGATTGAACCCGGGTCGATCGGGTGCAAGGCAAGGCCCTCCCCGCTGCACAACCGATCAGGGTGTGATTATTATTTATTATTATTTTAAGTTCTTTTCTCTTTTTTTACACCTGCCAGTGCTGAGGGTACCTTATGGGATGCTGGGGATCAAACTCCCGTCTGCCGCTGTGTATGCAAGATAAGCACCGTTACTGTTATACTTTGCTTGCAGGAAACTTGGGTTCAGGAGTTGAAGAGATAGTACAGCGGGGAGGGTGCTGGCCTTACACGGGAGGGGGTGGGGGGGAGGTCGAGCCAGGTTCGATTCCGGGCACCCCAGAGGGTCTCCGGAACCCTGCCAGGGAGTGATCCCTGAACTCAAAGCCAGCAATAAAGTCCTAAGCATCACCGAGCGTGACCCCCAAAAGCAAAAGCCAAAACAAACTAGTTAAGCAAAGACACGGGATGCGGGGGACTCATCCGAACAGTTAATTTCCAAGACTTGCGGGATCTATCCTCTAGCTCCGTCAAGATAAAGACCCATTTTTTTGGGGGGGGTGGGGGGTGTCATTTTGCTGCGGGAACCCGCCCCCCTCCCACCCTTCCAGAGAAAGAGATTGTAAGTTCCAAGCTCTCGGACTCGGGTGCAATAAAGAAACTTACCAGGCAGGCTTTCCCCCAGGGGCGCGCCAAAACTAAAGAGGCAGAAGAAGCAGGAAAACCACAGAAAAAACAAGATGGATGGTTTTTAAGGGGCAGAAGTCGGAGCAACGTGGGTGTGTGCGATTGTCGTGTCCAATCCAGTGCGGCCAATTGTCCTGCAGGCGCCTTGGGGCCCCAATCAGCGCGAGTTAGTTGCCCCAGCTTTGGGTAAAGATCCGACGGCGGGTGGGGGTGGGGAAGGGGACACATCCCGCGAGGCTCAGGGGTTACCCCTGGCCCTGCATCCAGGAATCAGTCCTTGAACGAGCGCTCCGGACCCCCGGGGTGGGGCTGGGGTGGGGGTCATTGCCACTGAGTTCCAACTGAGACACTTGGAACAAAGCTTTTTACCTCGGGAGCTGCAGGGGCCCGATTCTAAAAACGATGCAAGTTCTCTTAAAAAAAAAAAAGTGAAAATCGCAAAAGCGACCTTGAAATTGCAGAATGTGGTCAGAGGGTGGGGGGTGGCGGAGCGATAGGACCAACCCGCGCTCGAGCCCCGGACACCCCCCCTCCCCCCCCATAGGGTTCCCTTGAGCCCCACCAGGATGAATTCCTCACTGCAGAGCCTGGAGTCAGCCCTGAGCACTGCGGGTGTGGCCCCAAACAAAAATGAATAAGTGACTTGGCGCTCCACGCTGCCGACTCCGTTTCGAGCCCCAGAGGGTGCCCCGAGCCCCGCCAGGAGTGATCGATCCCTGAGCGCAGAGCTAGGAGGAGTCAGCCCTGTGAACCTCAAACTTGAAAGCAAAACAGAACAAAACAAAATTGCAGAACTGTCCAAAAATTAAATAAATAAAAAGACAAAAATCCGAGTGATCTTGCAAAGCGGAGACTAAAAGGGAGGTTTTCTCTTTTTTTTTTATTTAGAAATTTATTTATTTATTTTTAGCTGATTTCACTAAGTACACTGAACTTCCCCGAAGGTCCTGAAAGTTCGTCACAGATTGTGAACAGCAACAATGGACTGGTGTTTTAAAGCGACTGTTTGCTTCACGGAACCCTGCTGTAACCGCTTTTTCTGGCTTCTCTAACAATGCTTGCTCCGCTGCGTTTGCCTGAATTTGCCGAGCAACAGGATGTGAGCTGGGGGACGGCTCAAACAAATTATGAACATGCCTACGAAAGTGCTCGGGCACCAGAATGTGGTTTTTTTTTTTTTTTGGTAATAAAAGACCTGGGGGTCTGGAGCGATATAGTACAGCGGGCAAGGTGTTTTGCCTTGCACGTGGCCGACCTGGGTTCGATTCCCAGCATCCCATAGGGTCCCCCGAGCACCGCCAGGAGTAATTCCTGAGTGCATGTGACCCCCCCCCAAAAAGACCTGTGCTTCTGTTCTGAGGGGGCTGCTCTTGCCTAGCAGGACATCCCGCCAGTTGGTGTCAATAAAGACTCCTCCAAATTCTACTGTTTTGTCTCTGGTAGTCTTCTGATGGCGAACCGCACGACAATCCCTTCAACAAATTTAGATTTATTTTCCCGCGAGCAGGACCCGTGACTTTATCCCGCCTCTTCACGGGGATGAGCCAATCAGGAGGCTCCCAGGGCGCATGCCCCGAACCAGCCCGCTCCGACCTACCAGGTGTGCAGATTCGCGCTTTGAGGCTTCTTGTCCCTCCGCCGCTGCCGTCGCCCCGGGGAACTACGACTCCCGGCAGGCAGCGCTCGCGCAGGCGCGGCTCGGGCGGCGGGTCCGCGTGTGGCATGTCGGCGCTGCGTTGGGGCTGGGGCGCTGCGGGGCTGGGGCGGGTCCTGCGGCCCCTGGGCCGCCCCGGGCCCCCAGCCCACGAAGGTAAAGCGGGAGCTCCGGGGGGTTCGCGGCGGCGGAGCGCGCCCTAGGTCTCGCGGCCTCGCCGCCACCCCAACCTCCGCCGTGACCTTTGGCTTTTCGGGACCCCCGGGACTCCAGCTCTCCCTGTCCGGACCCTTGCCCAGTGCCCTGTAGGGTTCTGGGGAACCCACAGATTCCGCCTCGTTTTCCCTCGCCCTTCACCCACCCGCTGTCCAAACGGCGCGCTTGGGGCACACTGACCTTTGACTCATGTTTTCTTCCGGAGTCTCCTGACCCCCTAAATTGCTTTTTTTTTTTTTAGGGTTCTTGGCCATCGAACTCTGAAACTTTCCTCCTAGGACCCCCTTTATGCTCACGCCCCAATAGTCTAAGCTGGCGGGGGTTCCCGTTCACCTTTGACCTCTTGGTTTGTTTATTTTTTCCCCCACCGCATTCGGAGCCAGATTGAATCCTGACAGTGTCCGCTGAATTCGGGGCTCCTGTGCCTGTAGGCTCAGCGATTGTGTCCAGAGGACGATCCATCCCCCCAAACCCAGTATGTTGCCGCTCCCCCATTTCTTTCTCCTTCCCTCCGTGCAGGGGCTCTGGATGGAAGCTTCTGGGGCTGCAGGAGACAGTCGACGGCCACCCGCTGTGTGCAGGAGCCCCGCAAAGACTGGGGCCACGCGGAGCTGTTAGAGGGTGAGCGGCACCCCAGGGCTGGCGCCCCAGTTTCCACCCTCAGTTATAGTGTTGGCCCTGGTTCATCTCCTGATTCCTGTAAAGCGTTTACAAGAAGGCTGTCAGGGGGCGTTTACCTTGCTGGCGTCTGTCTCTGAGCCCGGGTTGCATCCCAGAGGGTCCCCTGAACGCAGCCAGAACTGATTCCTGAGTGCAGAGATAGGAGTCAGTCTTGAGCATCGCTAGGTGTGACCCCCCCCCCCCACAAACAAAAACAAAATAATAGGGGGCTGGAGCGATAGCACAGCGGGTAGGGCGTTTGCCCTTGCATGTGGCTGACCTGGGTTCAATTCCCGGCATCCCGTGTGGTTCCCTGAGCACCGCCAGGAGTAATTCCTGAGTGCATGAGCCAAGAGTAACCCCTGTGCATTGCTGGGTGTGACCCAAAAAGAAAACTAATAATAATAAATAGACTTATATAAAAGAAGCAGTAAAATGAGGTAGTTAAGGGCTGGAACAGTAGGTAGTGAGTAGGGCGTTTGCTTTACATGCAGCCAATCTTGGTTCAATCCCTGGCACCCATATGCTTTCCGGAGCACCATGAGGAGTAATCCCAGAGCTAGAAGCCAGAATTAAGACCTCAGTACAGCTGGATGTGGCCCAAAACAAAACCAGCCAACCAAAGTTTCTTTTTTTTTTTTTTTAATTTTTTTTTTTGCTTTTTGGTCACACCTGGCGATGCACAGGGGTTGCTCCTGGCTCTGCACTCAGGAGTTACTCCTGGCAGTGCTCAGGGGACCCTATGGGATGCAGGGAATCGAACCCGGGTCGGCCGCATGCAAGGCAAACCCCCTACCCGCTTTGCTATCTCTCCAGCCCCTAATGTTTGTTTTTTAAGCTTCTGGGTCACACCAGGTGATATTCAGGAACCACTCCTGGCTTTACCTGGCTTTCAGAAACTACTCCTGGTGGTGCTTGGGGGACCATAGGGCATGCTGGGGATCAACCCAGATCGGTGGGTGCAAGGCAAACATCTTACCCACTGTACTATGTGTCGCCCCAATGCTCCTGTTTTTTGTGGCTCAAATCATTATTCAAGGCTCCTCCCACCTGAGGACAGGCCCCGCCTTCGCGCTCTACCTTCTGATATGACAGCTGACAGTCCCTAATTAAGCCTCCGTTCTTAGTTTGAGGGGGGCTCTGTATCCCCTCCCGCTCCCATCTCAGTGCTGAGGTGCAGCTGGTGGTCCCAGGCACATGAAGGCCATCAGCCCCCGCCCCCAATGTATGGATCCGGAGAAGTCAGCAAAGGCCCCCCCCATCCCTGAAAGTTAGTGACCCCTGCTCCCCCCACCCCAGTGCTGGAGGCGCGGGTGCGGCAGCTGCAGGCCGAGAGTGTGTCCACCGTGACGGTGGCCAAGAAGGTGTCGGTGGCCAAGAAGGTGTCGGTGGCCAAGAAGGTGTCGGTGGCCAAGAAGGTGTCAGAGAAGAAGCTGGATGTCGCATGCCCCCCGCCCGAGGAGGAGACCGGGGACCCCTGGACGCAGGAACCCGAGGCAGAGGTGGAGAATCCGAACGTTGTGGTCCGGAAACCCGAGCGGCGCCGCCGCCCGCAGCTGCTCCTGGAGCCCCGGCTGCTGGACAAGGAGCTGCACCAGTGCCTGCGGCGCTGGACCACCGAGTCCCCGAGCAGCCCCTGGGAGGAGCAGCTGGCCGAGCTGCTGCGGGACGCGCCGCGGCGGCTGAGCCAGGAGCTGCAGCAGGTGCCCGCCAGCACCACCGCGCGGGCGCGCCTGGAAGCGCAGCAGCAGCGCCTGCTCTCCTTCCTGCAGAGCTGCCTGCTCTCGGGCCACCTGGCCCTGGCGCACCACGTGCTGGCCAGGCAGCACGCCAAGCTGCGGCCACCAATGCTGCTCACGCTGCCCATGTACAACACCGTGATGCTGGGCTGGGCGCGCCAGGTGAGTGCGCGGGACAGCGGGGCGGGCGCTTGGCTTGCGCCCAGCCGACCCAGGTTCGATCCTCGACGTCCCGTAGGGCCGTCGCAGCATCCCTTGGCGTGATCGCTGAGTGTAGAGCCAGGAGTAGCCCCAGAACATCATCGGGTGTGCACCCCCCAAAACAGTTGCAGGAGCTAGAGCGATAGGATAGCAGGCAGGGTGCTTGGCTTGCACACAGCTGACCCGGGTTCGATCCTCGACATCCCACAGGGTCGTCAGAGCATCCCCTGGCGTGATGAGTGTAGAGCCAGTAGTAACCCCTGAACGTCGTCGGGTGTGGCCCCCAAAACAAAATTGCAGGAGCTAGAGCGATAGGACAGTGGGTAGGCGCTTGCCTTGTACAAAGCTAACCCGGGTTCAATCTCTGGCATCCCATTGGGGTCCCTGGAGCCCGCCAGGAGTGAACCCTGTGCGCAGAGCCAGGAGTAAGTCCTGAGCACTGCCCTGTGTAGCACCAAAGCAAAACAAAAAAATTAAAACTTTCAGGGGCCAGAGTGATCATACAGTGCCTTGCACGCAGCCAACCCAGACTCCATCTCTGGCATCCCTTAGGGTCCCCCGTGCCCTGCCAGGAATGGTCCCTAAGGGCAAAGCCAGTAGTAACCCCTGAGCATCAATGGGTGTGGCCCCCAAACCAAAAAAAAATCGCAGTGGCTGGAGCCATAATACAGCAGGGAAGGTGCTTGCCTTGCATGACCCAACCCAGTTCCATCCCAGACACCCCATAAGGTCTCCTGAGCACTGCCAGGTGTGACGCTGGCAGTCCTTGTGGGTTTTTCTTGGGTGCTTCATTTTGGGGCCACACCTCGTGTTTAGGGCTTCCTCCTCTGGAATGTTGGGGATGAACCTTGGGGGTAGATGCTACGTGGGCGGGACCTCTCTCTGCTACATGGGCGGGACCTCTCTCTGCTACATGGGCGGGGCCTCAGGGGTACCCCGCACGTCACCTGCCCCATCCCTGTCCCCGCAGGGGTCGTTCAAGGAGCTGGTCTATATCTTCTACATGCTGAAGGACGCGGGCCTCGCCCCGGATCTGCTCTCCTACGCGGCCGCCCTGCAGTGCATGGGACGGCTGGACAAAGACGCACGGACGGTGCAAAGGTGTGAGAGCGGGCCCTGGAGGGTGGGCGGGGGTGGGGGTTGTGGGACCCCGCCGCTCATCGTGCCCCCCACCCCGTGTGCAGGTGCCTGGAGCAGATGGCCCGGGACGGGCTGAAGCTGCGGGAGCTGTTTGCGCAGCCGCTGAGCGCCAGCGAGCGCGAGGCCGTGCTGAGAGCCGTGCGCAAGGCCCAGCCCCAGTTCCAGCCGCCCGCCCCGGCCCCAGTCCCGCGCGTGCGCAGCACCTCCCCCCTGCTGGCTGAGGTCTATGCCAAGGTGAGGCCCGGCCGCGGGGGTACCTGGCCCCACTCCCCACTCCCCACACCTACATCCCTGATTTGGTTGGTTGGTTTTGGCTTTTTGGGTCTCACCTGGCATTGCTCAGGGCTTTCTCCTGGCTCTGCACTTAGGGAGACCCTATGGGATGCCGGGAATTGAACGTGGGTTGGCCGCCTGCAAGGCAAGCATCCTCTCCGCTGTCCTGTCCACACCCAGGTCTCTGGTTTCTTTTTTTTTTTTTTGCTTTTTGGGTCACATCCGGCAATGCACAGGGGTCATTCTTGGCTCTGTGCTCAGGAATTACTCCTGGTGGTGCTCGGGGATATGGGATGCTGGGAATCGAACCCGGGTGGACTGCGTGCAAGGCAAACGCCCTACCCGCTGTGCTATCGGTCCAGCCCCAGGTCTCTGGTTTCTAACTCTCATGCCCACAGCGGGCTGGAGGAGCGTCTTTGGCGGTGATCTCCGGTGCCCCCTTGTGGTACTCCCCATCATATGTAGGTGGTACCAGGGATCCAACTCGCTGCCTCTGGCCTGTTGTGAGCCGCTTTCTGCGGGGGAGCAAACCCAGGCCCCGTTATTTTTTTTTGGGGGGGGAGGGGGGGGGGATGCACCCCTGTGTGCTCAGGGCTGACTCTTGGCTCTGAGCTCAGGGATCATCCCTGACGAGGCTTGGGGGACCCTACGGGGTGCTGGGGATCGAACCTGGTCGGCCTGGTACAAGTCCTGTGGACTGTTCTATCATCCCGAAGGCCCTGTAATATGTATGTTTGTATTTACTGGTTTTGGGGGCCACACCCAGTCATTCTCGGGGGTGACTCCTGGCATGGAACTCAGGAATTACTCCCCGTGGTGCTTGGGGGACCAAATAAATGGATTTGGGCCAACCATAAGTGCTCAACCTGCTGTCCAGACTCAGGCCCTGTGTTTTATTTAATTTATTATTATTATTATTGGGCTGGAGCAATAGCACAGCGGTAGGGCGTTTGCCTTGCACGCAGCCAACATGGCCAACCCGAGTTCGATTCCTCCGCCCCTCTCGGAGAGCCCGGCAAGCTACCGAGAGTACTCGATATGCCAGACACAGTAACAACAAAGTCTCCAATGGAGATGTTACTGGGCCCGCTTGAGCAAATCGATGATCAACGGGAGGGCCTTTGCCTTTTATTATTATTATTATTATTATTTTATTATTATTATTTTGCTTTTTGGGTCACACCTGGCGATACACAGGGGTAACTCCTGGCTTTGCACTCAGGAATCACTCCTGGCGGTGCTCAGGGAACCATATGGGATGCTGGGAATCAAACCTGGGCAAATGTCCTACCCGCTGTACTATTGCTCCTTGCTCCAGCCCCAGGCCCTGGTTTTTTTTTGTTTTTGTTTTTGTTTTAGCAGTGAAGTAAATAGATTTTATTTGGAGGATTTTTAGGTATGGAGGGAGAGAGTAACGTACTCAGAGAACACGGGCTTCTCCAAGGGCGGAGAGAGCCCCTACACAGATCCTAGCATTAGACACGAAAGCCTGAAAGTACACATCTCAAGAGGGGAGATGCGGGCGACACATGTGCTCGGGCACTACATGTGCTCGGCCACGTGGGCGCAAGCAGCACATGGACTCGGGCAGCATATGCGTCCCAGGCCCTGTGTTTTAATAAGAGATTTTTTTCCCTTGCTTTGGGACTTCACCTGGAGGTGCTCAGGGAACCAGATCGTATGCTGGGGTGATTCAGTGTTGGTTGGTTAAGCCCAGAAAGCTTTGTTGCTCAGAGGGACCCCTCACCCCTCGGCTGCCAGGCCTCCTCCTCCCTCCAGCGACCACAGGCCCTGCCTACGATTTGTGGGGGCGCGGGCAGTGTGTCTGCTGCACACATGTCCATTTTGGGGCTCCTTCCCTGGGGAGTCTGGTTGAGTCTCTGAGCATCCTGGGCTCCCCAGGTCGTCTTTGTATGTGTGCGTGTGTGTGTTGGCGGGCGTGGGGGGGAGCGCCCCCATCCTCTTCCCAGCTGTGAGGGGGGGTACAGGTGTGTCTGGTCGCTGAGCGGGACCCTCGAGCCGTGCCGGCCTCGTGTCCACTGGACATCTGTGCCTGAGTTTTTCCGGCCGGCCTGTGGTTTTGACTCTGAATGCTAAGGTTTGGGCTGCTGCTATTTTTAATGCATCTATTTCGAGACGGGTCACACATTCACACCATTTCAAGTTTAAGAAGAAAACACATCCAGGGACTGAAAGAGCCTCCTGCCTGGGCTTGCTTCTCACCTCCCGTGGCCAGGAACCCTTTCGTGACCAGCATGATTTATTCATCTTGGTTTGTTTCTTTCGGGGTCACGCCGGCTACGCACAAGGCTCACTCCTGGCAGCCTTGCGGGACCCGTGGGGTGCCGCGCATGGGACCCGGGTTGGCGGTGTGCAGCGCAAGTTGCTCGGCCCGTTGTGGTGACGAGTGCTTGGTCTTAGGTGCAGCCTGGACGGTTGTCAGGGAGGTTTGGAGAAATGGATGTGACTGGCGGCAGGACGGGGCGGGGTCTGCTGTGCCCTTGGTGGGGAGGGGGGGATCAAGGTCAGCAGAGCCCACCCTTACCCGCCCCACAGAACCTGCCCGCGACCTACCCCAAGCTGCACCTGCCGCTGAAGACGCTGCAGGAGCTATTCCAGAAGCAGCTGCGCATGGAGATGGCCACCATCGTGCAGGTGCCGTCGGTGGACAAGGCCCCCCAGGAAACCAAGGAGCTGCTGCGGGCGGTGAGGCTCTCCGGGGGTCCCTTGTCTGTGCTCCAGCCCTGGCCCTGTTCATCTTCTCCCCTCCCCCCCTCGAATGTGGCCATGCGTCCTCAACTCTGAGGGAGGGCAGGCTTCCGACGCTGCCAGAGAGCATTCACAGCGCCCAGCTGACCAGGATTTCATCCCTGCCCCCAGCCTGGCAGGACACCCGGCGTGACCCCAGCGCGCAGTCAGGGATGAACCCTGAGCGCCGCCGGATCTGGCCCCCAAACGCAAACCCAACCCCAGCAGATGGTTCATGAAGCACCACCTCGGGGACAGTGAGCTGGGGCGAGGGCAGGCAGGTGACCCCCGCGTCCGTCCTTCCCCTGCAGCGGAAGACCCTGAAGAGGCTGCGCGCGCAGTGGGAGGAGGAGCTGCTGGATGCCCTGCGCGAGGCCAAGGATAACCATGCCAGACTGGCGCGGCAGGGCCACCCGTCCCTGCTGCCGTACCTGAGCCTCATCAACGAGCGGGACATCGTGCGGCTGCTGTTGCAGGTGGGCTTGGGTGGGGGTGGGGGGTCGGCTAGAATGGGCTGAGCCACGGTAGGTGGAGCTGGGGTGGGCGGGATTTAATTCTGACGAATAGGGTCAGGGTTTGTCGGACTGAGACCAGAGTGGGCGGGGCTGTGTTCTTGAGGGGTGGGGCCTGGGTAGACTGCTGGGCCCTGGTAGGAGACTGAGCCCCCTGGTGGGCGGGGCCAGGGTAGGCGGGACTGAGTCCTGATGAGTGGCGTGGTCCAGGGTTGGTGGGCTGAGCCCTGGTGGGCGGGGCCAGGATTGGGGCTGGGCCCTGGTGGGCGGGGCCAGGATTGAGGTTGAGCCCTGGTGGGCGGGGCCAGGACTGGGGCTGAGCCCCCTGGTGGGCGGGGCCAGGGCTGAGTCCTGAGTAGGGCCAGGGTTGCCCGGAACAAGCCCTTGGTAGGGGGCTGCGTGGACTTACAGTGCCACCTCACAGACCCTGCACGCCATTTCCCCGCATGGAGAGTCCCTGATGTCCATGGCCCAGGACCTGGGCCTGCGGGTGTTCAACCGCTACGCGGTACACAGGAAAGTCCTCAGCAACCAGATGCAGGGGCTGGAGCAGCGCTACCACCAGTACCTGCACCTGCTGGCTTCCGACTCGAAGGTGAGCGAGCCTGCCCAGGGTGAGGAATCGGGAGCCCTGGGGATGGGGATGGATGTCCCCCCTCACCTGACCTGTTGCCTGCAGGTGGCGGCCCCCTGCCTGCCCAGGCAGCACTGGGAGTCGCTGGGGCCGCCTGAACCGCCCCACGAGCAGCCGTGGCCCCTGCCGGTGCTGGTGGAGCTGGGCAAGCAGCTGGCCGAGATGCTGGTGCAGGCTGTCCACATGCCCAGCAGCCTGACCGCTGGTACCCAGGACCCTAAGCGGAGCATTCCAGTGCTGTACCACGCTTACTCCTTCCGGAGCTTCCGCCAGGTGTGCTGCCGCATCGATGATGGGCGGGAGGGAGGCCGTCTCCCCTGGGGGTGCCTGCCTTGAGTGCATCGAGCCCCTGACCCGAACCAGGATGTGCCCGCCGCCCCCTCACAGATCGGGATCCTGAAGCCGCACCCGGCCTTCACCGAGCTGCGGGAGGCGGCCGCCGAGCGCATGCTGACCTTCGAGGCCAACGAGGTGCCCATGCTGTGCCCGCCGCTGCCCTGGACGTCGCCGCACATGGGCGCCTTCCTGCTGAGCCCCACCAAGCTGATGCGCGCCATGGAGGGTGTGTCGCAGCACCTGCACCTGCTGGACAGCTGCCCGCCGCAGGACCTGCACGGCGCCCTGGACACCGTCACCCAGCTGGGCAACTGCGCCTGGCGCGTGCGCGGGCCCGTGCTCGACTTGGTGCTGGAGCTCTTCACCGCCAAGGGCTGCCCGCGCCTCGGCGTGCCCGCGCCCGCCTCCGAGGCGCCGCGCCCACCCTGCACCCGCCTGCCCCCCGGCACCCCGCCCGCCCGCAAGGCCGAGCTGCGGCGCGAGGTGGCGCGCTGCCTGAAGGTGACCCGCGAGATGCACAGCCTGCGGGCCGACGCGCTCTACCGCCTCTCGCTGGCCCAGCACCTGCGCCACCAGACCTTCTGGCTGCCTCACAACATGGACTTCCGCGGCCGCACCTACCCCTGCCCGCCCCACTTCAACCACCTGGGCAGCGACCTGGCCCGCGCCCTGCTGGAGTTCGCCGAGGGCCGCCCGCTCGGCCCCCAGGGCCTCGACTGGCTCAAGATCCACCTGGTCAACCTCACGGGCTTCCAAAAGCGAGCGTCCCTGCAGGGCCGCCGCGAGTTCGCCGACAAGGTCATGGACGACATCCTGGACTCGGCCGACCGGCCCATGACAGTACGGGCTGCCCCGGGCCTCTGCCTCCCGCCCCTTGGCTTCCGCTCCTGGCTGTTCGTTCCCAGGGCTCTGACCTTGCCTGGCCATGATGCCGCGTGAGCTGGGGCACCCCGGATCCTCTGCTGACCCCCCCACACCCCTGCACTCCGCGTTCATTCGGTCCTGCCTCTCCTCCAGGGCCGGAAATGGTGGATGGAAGCCGACGAGCCCTGGCAAGCCCTGGCCTGCTGCATGGAGATCGCCAAGGCCGTGCGCTCCCCTGACCCCGCGGCTTACGTGTCCCACTTTCCCGTGCACCAGGTGAGCCGCGGGGAGCCCAGGTCTGGGGCGCAGAGCCCAAGGGGGTCCCGTTCCTTGGGGGTGGGGGGTCTAAGCAGCTCCCTCCTGTGGGCTGCCGACCCCTCTGTGCCTTGGAGTTCAGGGAGCCCTTACTCACAGCGGGGTCCCACTCTCAGCCCTGCCCTGATGCCCCCGCAGGATGGCTCCTGTAACGGCCTGCAGCATTACGCAGCCCTGGGCCGCGACAGCGTGGGAGCCGCCGCTGTCAATCTGGTGCCATCAGACCTGCCCCAGGATGTGTACAGCGAGGTGGCTGCGCAGGTGGGCGCTGCACTCCCCCAGCCCCTCGCGGGTGCCCCAGAAAGAGTCTACCGGGGATTTCAGCCTTTTGGACACCCCGACACCCCCCCCCCACACACACACCAGGGGGTTTCAGCCTTCTAGACACCCTGCCCCCCACACACGTATACCAGGGGTTTCAGCCTTCCAGACTCCTACACACACACACACACACACTCACACGGGTTTCCAGCCTTCTAGACCCTTCCCCCCGCCCCGCCCCCCCCCACACACACGGGTCCGGGCCACTAAGGACCACGTGAGCTGGAGGTTCCCAGGGCACCGGGTGAAAGTGCGCCCCTGCCCCGCCCAGGTGGAAGTGTTCCGCTCGGAGGACGCCAAGCAGGGCGTGCGGGTGGCCCAGGTGCTGGACGGCTTCATCAGCCGCAAGGTGGTGAAGCAAACGGTCATGACCGTGGTCTACGGCGTCACGCGCTATGGGGGCCGCCTGCAGATCGAGAAGCGCCTCCGCGAGCTCGACGACTTCCCGCAGGTGCTCCCCCCGGCCTCGCCCCCTGCATCTAAGGGGGCGCCACGGTGGGCTTCGGGACCCTCCAGGGCCCCCCAGATCCCCTCCTCCCCGCGCGCCTGACCGCGCTCGCCCCCTGCCCGCCCGCCAGGAGTTCGTGTGGGAAGCGTCTCACTACCTCGTGCGCAAGGTCTTCAGCAGCCTCCAGGAGATGTTCTCGGGCTCCCGGGCCATCCAGGTGTGCACCCTGCCGCGCCCCTCTTCCCTGCCGCATGGGCGCCCCACCCCCAAGCCTCGTCCCTGGCCTGGCACCCCCTGAGCCTGTGCCCGTCCCCGCAGAACTGGCTGACGGAGACCGCGCGCCTCATCGCCAAGTCCGGCTCGGCGGTAGAGTGGGTCACGCCCCTGGGTATCCCCATCATCCAGCCCTACCACGTGGGCTGCAAGGTCCTGGTACGTGCCCGAGTGCGCAGGCGCCGCCTCACCCCCTGCCCGCGCGCGCAGGCGCAGCCCGCACTGCCCTAGGTTGCCCGAGTCTAACACCACTTCCCGCAGATCGGCGGCGGCCTCCAGAGTCTCACCATCAGCAACAGCGGCGACACCAACAGGTGGGCAGTGGGGTCGGGTGGGTCAGATCCGGGCCCGGCCCCCCAGCCCCTCGCCACCCCTCACCCCCGCCCTCCCCCCACCACCCCCAGGAGACCCAACACGCTGAAGCAAAGGAACGGCTTCCCCCCCAACTTCATCCACTCCCTGGACTCCTCGCACATGATGCTCACGGCCCTACACTGCTACAGGTGGGGTTTGCCCCTCCCAGGGACCCTCCGCCAGGGACACCCCCCTTCCCCACTCCTCCTGGGTCCGATGGGCCTGATGTCAGGAGGCACCTATGAGGAGCGGCAGGTGGCCCCAGCCAGGTGCTGTGGTAAGGGGGGGCCGGATGTAAGGAGGCGGGGTCACATCATGAGGTTCCTTTGAGCCCCTCTGGGTGCTGGGGCCCAGGGGACGGCTGGTAGCAGGGGCCACTAACGGGCTGGAGAGGTCGCACAGCGGGTAGAGCGCTTCGCTTGCCTTGCACGCGGCCCACCCGGGTTCCATCCCAGGGACCCAGGGACAGCCGGGAGTGATTTCTGTGTGCAGAGCCAGGGGTGAGATCCGCTCTCCCCTCCCAAAGAAAAGAATGACCACTAACTGGCCGGGAGATGGCTCAGGGGCTCGGGCATGTGATGTGGGGGTCCCTGAGTTTCAGGCCCTGGCACCAGGAGGCATCCCAAGCCCAAAAGCAAGCAGGTGGGCGGGGTGGCGTGGGCTGGTGGGCGTGGCCTTCCTCAGCCCTGCCCCTCCCTCGCCCCCAGGAAGGGTCTGACCTTCGTGTCTGTCCATGACTGTTTCTGGACCCACGCCGCGGACGTCCCCGTCATGAACCAGGTGCCACCTGAGCCCCTCGTTTCCACCCGGGTGTTGTGGGAGGCGCAGAGAGCGTGCCAGACCCCCCCACCTACTTCCCGCTGACACTCCCCCCACAACCCCAGGTGTGCCGGGAGCAGTTCTTCCGCCTGCACAGCCACCCCATCCTGCAGAACCTGTCGTCCTTCATGACCGAGCGCTTCTGCACTGGCCCCAGGTGAGCCTGCGCCCCCACCCCCACCCTACCCCTGCACGCGCCTCCCACAGCCCTGCCTGACCCCTGCACCTCCCCCTGCCCTTGCAGGGCCCAGCGCCAGCCCTCGAAGCTCGGCCAGCTGATCAAATTGCGCAAGACGCTGATGGCGGTGCCCAAGAGAGGTGAGGGGCAGGGCGGGTGCGCGCGGGGCGGTTGGCAGGGTCTCCGGGCCGCACCCCTGGCCTCACTCCAGCCTCTGACCCCTCTCTGCAGGGACTCTGAACCTGGCCAAGGTCAAAGGCTCCACTTACTTCTTCAGCTGATGCGGGCCCGCGTCCCTGGGGCGGTCCCCTTCCCGGATTGTATCATAGTGTAAATAAAGCCGTTGTCACCCCGGGGAGCCCCTGACCTCCGGGGGCCTCGGAGAATCACACGCGGTGCAGGCTGGGCGCCAATGCTGTCGTTTATTGCGCGGAATGGGGGGTGTCGGGGGTTAGTGGGGCCTGGGGGGGTGGCGCGGTGGGGAGGGGGCTGCTGCCTCAGCTCGTCAGTACATTCATCTCGACGGCGGGGACCCCCGGCCTTGCCCCCGCGCCCCTGGCTGTGGGCAGAGGCGCGGGGAGGGGGTAAGAGCCGAGGCGCCCGCTCGGGGGAGGTCACCGCGGACGGACGGACGCGCTGGGGCAGGGGCCGGGCCGGTTATTGCGTGAGCGTGGGGGGCAGCGGAAGCCGGCGGGCCACGTATTGCACTGACCAGGTCCTCCTCGGACGGGACGCGCGGCGGCCACCGCGGCCACCGCCTCTCGGGCCGGCCCGTCCCCCCGGCCGACGTCTGGGGGGAAACTCAGGCACCGAGGTGAAGGGAAGCCCCTCGCACGGGTCCGCGCGCGCACGAGGCCGCCGCCGGGCAGGGGCGATGTGGGTGGGCGCGGGGGCGATGAGGGGGGTCGGCGGGGCGCGGAGGGGGCCGCCCGCCGGGCGCCCGGGCCCGCCCGTCCGGCTACAACTACCTACGTCTCCTCTATGGCTTCTGGGGCGGGCGGCGGGCGGGCGGCCGGGCAGCGCAGTGGCATGGCTTTGGTCTGGGCGGCGCCCCCCGGCCCCCTGCCCGGGTCCCCTCCCCGCAGCCCGGGGCGGCGCGGCGAGGGTCACAAGTTGGACGAGAGGCGCGAGCGCGCGGAGTCCAGCGGGTCGAGGCCGCCGGCGGCGGCAGCAGCACCAGCGCCGGGCGAGGCCGAGTCCCTGCGGTCCGGGCTGGGGGCGGCGGTGCGGGGGGCCGCGGGGGGCGCGGGGCCCAGGCGCGGCGTGGAGCTGCTGGCCGGGCGCGCCGTGGCCGCGGGGCCCGGCCCGGGCGCGCCGTGGGGCAGCGACGGCTGCGAGGCGGACAGCGGGCGCGACGCGCGGCTCAGGCGGCGCGCGGGCAGCGCGGGGCCGGCGCGGGGCCCCGCGGGCGAGCCGGGCCCCCCGCCGCCGCCGTAGGGCGAGGTCCGCGGGGCCCGGGGGCTGACCGGGGCGCCCGGGGGGCTGGCGGCGGGCGGCCCCGGCGAGGCGGCAGTGGCGGCGCCCAGCGGCGGGCGGCGCAGGAGGCGTGGAGAGCCCAGCGCCAGCGGCCCGACGAGGGGCCGCGCCACCTGCGGGCAGAAGCTCATGGCCACGGCCTGCTGCAGCGTGGCGATGGCCGAGGTGACCTGCGGCGGCGGCGGCGGCGGGAAGAGTCCCACGCGCTGGCCCAGCTCGGCCTGCTGGACCATCTCGCGGTCGTACTTGACGATCTCCTGGATGATGGCGTTCTCCTGGTTGTTGAACACGCCCGAGTTGAGGTCGTGCTGGACCTTGTGCAGCAGGATCGAGTTCTTCTTGCCTGCGGACGGGACGGGGGTGCGGGGGTGGGGAAGGGTCCGGCAAGGGGGCGCGAGATCAGGGTATGCCGGCTGGCAAGCCAGCCAGATAATGAAGCAAGGGTGGGCGGCTGGCCCTGCACTCGGCAGTCCCCGGGTCCCGTACCCGGTACCCCAGAAGGGTATCCCCCACCGAGCCCCGCCAGGAGGGATCCCTGAGCTCAGAACCAGAGTACTGCCGGGTGAGGCCCCCCAAAATAAAGACACACCGAGTCCCACCTAGCACTTGGGTGCCCCCACTCTGTCCACGGAGCCAGGATCGAGCACCTACTGTCCACAGCTAGGTGGCACGGAGCCCCTCCGGCACACAGCAGGTGGGCACACTTGTGTGCGAGCCTGCCGAATACGGCACCTGGGGTCCGGAGCGGAACAGCGGAGCACCCACTGTGTGCAGCCAACCACACCCCTCAGTGCCTGCTGGAGGCAGTGTCTAGACTTGGATGGGTGCTGGGGGGGTGCAGTGTGGAGGGCACACCGAGTGTTGCTTGGGGCCTCCTCCGGCTCCATGCCCGGGGATCACCCCCGAGTGCTCTGGGGAAGTGCAGTGTGGGCATCACACCCCAAGGCCAGCTCTCCAGCTCCGGATTCGGTGTCACCGCCTGACATCAAACCCCACAGATCAGAGCACGGCCTTGGTCTACAGACACCTGTGTCAGCCTCTTGGCTGCGCCAGGCCACTGGCCAGCCTCCCCATCCTGCATGCACACAGAGCCCCAAGCCTCCTTCCTTCCCACTGGTAAGAGACCCTCCCAGAATGGGCCACCTTCCTTCTCCCCACCTAGCTTCTGTCACCACCGGACCTCAAGCCAGCCCGGGGTGCACCCTCCCCTGGCTCACTAGAAACCCCGCCATGATGGGTCACAGAGCAGAGGCTCCCCACACCCAACAACAACCCCATCTCCCGGGCAAACGGAGCTGGCAGAAAGGAAGTGTCAAAAGGGTGGCACACACCACCACGCCCACTCACCGATGCGGTCCAGGCGGTCGATGGCCACCGTCTCGAAGGCCCTCCGCATCATGGGGTACTCCTCCAGCACCTCGTTGAAGTTGTCCACGCTCAGTGAGTAGAGGCGGCAGTAGGTGTCGGCCCGCACACTGGCCGTGCGGCGGCCCCGGGTCAGCAGGCAAATCTCTGCAGGGTGGCCCGGGGGGGTCTCAGTTGGGAGCAGGCCACCCCACCCCACCCCACCCTCCACCTCCACCCATAGAGGTCTCTGCTGGAAAGTGCCCGCCCCCCACCCCGGGTGACCAGTCTGCTGGGCTCACCCCCGAAGTAGGAGCCGTCGGACAGTTTCATCTCCTTGCTGCCCTTGGTGAGCACGCTGACCACGCCGTGCTGGATGAAGTACATCTTCTTGCCAATGGTGCCCTCACGGATGATGTAGTCGCCTGGCTGGAACACCTCGAACTTGAGCTTGGTCAGCATGGCCGTGACGAAGTTGGGGTCGGCGTTGGCGAACAGAGGCATGGAGGCCACCAGCTTCCGGCAGTTGAAGTTGACGATCTCCTGGCGGGGGAGAAAAGGCAGGGTTGAGGCTGGGCTGGCATGACACACGTGTGCGCACACGTACACACATGCACACACATGTATGCACACATATACATACACGTGCACATGTATGCACAAAGACACATGCACACAGGCATGCCACACATACACTCGTGCACACGCGTGGACATGCACACACATGCACACGTACACACGTGCATGTACACAGACACACAAACGCGTACCCGCCATCTCCTACACACTCAGCTTGTACATCTAGGAAAGGAGATAAATGAATTTCCTTTTTTTTTTTTTTTTGGTTTCTTTTGGGGGGGCCACACCCAGGGATGCTCAGGGTTGACTCTTGGCTCTGTGGTGGGATCACCCCCTGGAGGGGTTTGGAGGAGCCTACGGGATGTTGAGGATCGAACCCAGGTTGGCTCTGTGCAAGGCAAATGCCCGCCCCCCTCACTGTACTGTCTCCAGCCCCTGACGAATGCATTTTCACCTCTAAGTCAGCCTCAAATTTGATGTCGCCTATCAGGGAAGGCGGTGCCCAGACTGGTGCAGGATGGGCCCGTTCTGCAATGTGACAGTGTGATAAGGCCAGAAAAACACGATGAAAGGGGGCCGGAGTGACAGGGTTCAATTCCCAGCACCACAGAGGGTCCCTTGGGGATGGCCAGGAGTAACCCCTGAGTACTCCTGGGAGAGGCCCAAAAACAAAATCACAGTGAAAAACCAGGACCAGGGAAAGAGCTCAGTGTTCGGGACACACCCTTTGCCAGGGAACACACGCACTGTGTTACTGTTGTATACAGCAGGCCAGGGCCTGCCCTACAGTGATCATGCATTGTGAGGAGGCGGGGGGAGGGGGCTTAGGGATGGGGGGGGACAACCAGCGGCGCTCAGGGCTTACTCATGGCTCTGTGCTCAGGGATCACTCCTGGTGAGTTCGGGACCATATAAGGTGCCGGTAGATATTGAACCCAAGTCTGCCACGTTTCAGGCAAATGCCCTCCCCACGGTCTCATCACTCTGGTCCCAGTGAGTATGCATTATGCACCTGCTATATACAGCAGGCAGGGATAGGAGCCTGCTGTGCAGTGAACATGCATTGTGCACCTATTGTATGCAGCAAGGTTCAGGTCTGCCCTACACTGAGCACATATTATGCACCTGCTGCATACAACAGACAGGGTGGAACCTGCCCAACCGTAAGCACACATTATGCACCTGCTGTATACAGCAGGCAGGGAAGGGATCTGCCCTGCAGTGAGCATGCATTATGTACCTGCTGCATACAGGAAACATGGCACTCCAGAAAATACTGAACACTGCATACCTGCTCTGTGGGGCACCCACGTCCTCAGCACCTACTGAGCACGGCCTGCACTGAGGAAGCCCCCCGCCGTACAAAGCACAGAACACGCCCCCACACCCGCACCCCAGGACAAACGCACACAAGAAACAAAACTGAAAGGCAAAGAGGGGGCCTGGGATTCTGCCTCTGCTTGGAACACCAGGCAGGCGGGCTTGAGGCCGTGAATTCAATCCCCGGCACCACCTCAACGTGCCTTGTCTGAGCCCTGGCGTAACAACCAAGTGAGACTGTGACCCCCAAACAGCACCCCCCAAATGTCTGCACTGCACCACCCCACCCCCACCCCCACCCCTCAAAACAATGACAACAACAGACTTTAACTCCTGAGCCAAGACCAGCTAATAATGAATGAGATCAGAGAGGGTGTGGACGCGGCTCCAAGGGCGCGCTGCGCTTGGCATGCAGGAGGCCTGGGGTTCGATTTCTGGCACCGTCTGCTCCCTCGAGCACCACCAGGAGGGACCCCTTGACCCCAAGCATCCAGCCAGGAGAAGTCCTCAAGCACCGCCAGGTGTGGCTCCCAAAACCAAAACCCGAGAGGAAGAAAGAGAAGCCCCGGAGCCCCAGGGAGAGAGAAGGGCGGCGCGAGCAGCTCGTGGGGAACTGGAGCGGGCCAGCACCCGGCAGGCGACAGCCACCCGCACTCCCAGGGGCCCGTCCCC